ACCCACACCCCAAACCTGAGATGAATGCATTAGTACAGGGCAAACGTTCAGGTAACTATAGCTCAGCGAGAACAGACCACCACCAGCACCTCACAAACCACCTCGCTGCTGTTACTGTCTCTCTCCTCCCTGAAGGTGACCAATCACTAACACTTCAAGAGTTCTGGTCTGTTTTGATCTTCCCACAAATAGTTTTATTCTGTATATATTCTTAGGTGATTATGTTCTGGTTGTGTAGATCAATGGTAGCATAAACAAGTCCCTGGGTTTGATCCCTATTTAATTTATCAAACTTTTCCTCCCTCTCTATGTTTGGGGTGCTTTTTATGACCTGTTTAAGAAATCTTTTCCAAGCTCAAAGAGATTTTCTGTGTAATCACTAGGGCTTTGTCTTCGTATTTATATCTGTAATACACAAAATATAGACTACTCTCTCTGCTGGGGGAAAAGGTACAATTTCTGTTTGTCCTTAATCACAGTGGGCTTGCCCAATGGCATTTACTGCTGAAAAGATGATCCTTCAAGAGCTGTGCAGTGTCCTCATACTGAGTGTTCGGGTACGGATAAGTCAGGAGCTCCCTGTTGTGCTCCACTGGGTCTTATTCTCTTGTAAGAATATCACAACATCTCAATCACTATAGTTTTTAAGAAACCTTAATCATTCTACAAGAATGTCTGGCTCTTCCAGACCTTCACGTTTCCACTGACACAATAATCAACTAATCAAATCACTCACACACACACATGATCATGACTGGGACTAAACTGAATAAATGAATTTGGGAGAATCAACATCTTTATACACTGAGCAGTGCAACCCATAACCATAGGGTATTTAGGTATTCATTTCTCTCAGAAAACTTGAGGATTTCCTTCAAAGAGAGGATCTGCCCCTATATTTGACCTTTCTAATAGTATCTAAAATGATCTTTCAAAGATATTTTCTAGCTTTTGTTTGAAAACAAATAACAAATAATAACCTTTCCCTTAGAAAAATCATCAAGCTTGCTAAACACTCATTGACTATAATCTTCTGCCTATAATCAATCCATTTTAGTTTTTTTTTTGGAGGGGAGAGGAGTTGAGACAGGGTCTATGTAGCCCTAGGCTATCCTCACACTTGCAATCCTCCTGCCTCAACCTCCTGAGTTCTAAGGTAACAGGCATGTACTAGCTTTCAAACCCTTCTATCTAATTTTTTTGCCCTCTACCTTGCCTGGTTCAACCTCTGCATACACTAAATAGAAGCAGTGACTGTGCTGTTCTCCAGCTCTCAAAATCACTATTCATATGGGTATTTACTTTGCTGGGTTTTCCTTTTGTTCTAATACCCTTTATTTAACAGATGAAGGAAGTTCCCTTCTACCCCTAAGTTCCTATGGCATGTTATGGTGACAGTGACAAATTTTATCAAATATTTTCCTGTATTTAATGAAAATCACATCAACATATTCTTTTTTCTATTAATGTGGTGAATTTCAACAATCTTAAAAACTAAACCAGCTCCCTGTGTCTGGAACATACTACTTTGGTCTGAATGCATGAAATTTACATACCGCTGGAGTCAATGAATGACCTTTTCATTTGTAAGCTGCATGTACAACTGTCATCAGTAAGACTGGGCTCTAACTGTCCCTTCCTTTATAATGTCTTATCTAATTTTTACACTGTGATCATGCTGATTTCATGAAACATACCTGTACAGTCCTTCTTTATCTAGTATCTAAAAGTATTTGTATACAAAATATAATTCAGTGAAAGGCTCTATATGACTGGAAGATTGTTATACTATTTATGTGTCTATGTATAAAGGTTTTAATAATTTACTTATTTAATAGTTTACAGTACTTTATAGTTTCTCTGACATATTTTGTATGCAATAATTTGATCTAAAATTTTTAAATATTCATTTTTATTTTATGTGTATGAGTGTACTGCCTACATGTATGTAAGTGCACCTGTGCCACGCAATGCCCACGGAGGTCAGAAGAGGCCATCAGATCCCCTGGAACTGGAGTTACAGACAGTTAGCTGCCATGTGGGTGCTGGGAATCAAACCTGGGTCCTCTGCAAGAGCAAGCAGTGTTCATAACTGCTGAGCCAACTCTCTAGTTCCTTGATCTATAATTTTGTTTTAATATCCACTTACAATCTTTCATTTTATTGTGATAAAAGCACCTGACGTCTACCTTCTTAAAAGATTTTCTTTTAATTATGTGTATGTATAGGGGAGGATAATGTGCACCTCAGTGGAGTACCCTCAGAGGCTGAAAGAGGGTGTCAGGTCCCTCTGGAACTAGAGTTGCAGCTGCTTGTGAGCAGCCCAATGTGAGTGCTGGGAACTGAACTCAGGTCCTCTGCAAGAGCAGTACACGCTCTTAAATGCTGAGCCACCTCTCAAGCGTCTTCTTAAAAGGTTTTTAGGTATGCAATCTGGCACAATGTTGTACGGTAGAAGTTTAGAGCTTTTATCTTGCCTGGGGGTCCAAACAATGGTTGCTTCTGGTTGTGAGAGCAGTAACTGGGAAGGAAAATAAGAGAACTATCAGGGGTTATATCTTGGTTTGGATGATGGTACACAGGTATGTACTTACATAAAAATTCAGTGAGCTGGACATGTAGGACTGTGCACTTCACTGCTTCAAGTTTCACACAACTCAAACCAGCTGGGTGTGGTGGCACATTCCTTTAATCCCAACACTCAAGAGGCAGAGGCGGATGGATCTCTGTGAGTTCCAGGCTAGCCAGGGTTACATGGTGAGATCCTATCTCCCCCCATCAAAAGTTGAACATATGAATATTTTGCTAAGAATGTTTAGAGCCCCTTAGAATCCATGGAGCAGTTATTTTCCAATTTCCTAGGAAACAGGGTCATAGGATGAGTAATATCTGGGGTATGACTCTATCAGCATTAAGTGTTAAGTACAGTTAAGGAGTAAATTGTGACAGAACACTCCCTTTAAGAACAGCCAGCACTAAACTGCAGTTTATTGGGGATGCACACACTTCATTCGGATGCTACCAGGACACACCATAGACTTACCCTTCCAACCTAACATCTGGCAAGGATCTGTTGAGTGCAATCATCTCACTTGCCATTAAGTTGAACTGATTGATTTTAAACATCTCTTTCATCTTTTCTTGATCCTCTTTAGGAATGACTACTGGTTTCCCCATTTCTCCAGGACCTTCATGAGGCTTCTGTACTGGCTCTAGAACTAAGAAGAAAGAAGAAGCTTAATTAATACTAATTTCATAAGAGCTGACTTTTGTACAGTAACACTCAAGTTAGAACTATACCCTTAACAAGCAGAGCCACGTCTACATCCAGCCTCCCAGGCTGCTAATGCCTTCCAGCGGCTATGCTGTCCCTTCTGGTCCATGTTGATGAACTGACCTCTTACCTTGTTCCATTCATCTAAATGCTGCACAGCTTTGTGCTGACACATCAAATACTGCTGCCACAACCTTCCCTGACCATAGCCTTCATGGCTACTCCTACGGCAGCTCCAAGTTTAACTTCTTTTCATGGAACTTAAGCCAGTTTTCCAAACCTATTTCCTGCTATATGGTCCTTCCCCAGCCCTCAGCATTTCCTCCTTTAGTCCTCACGCTCAGCAGCTTGTAAAACCAAGAACTGAAACTGTAGGATGTTTACAGTTACCAGGGACAGTGGGAAAAAGTGCTTGCCACCAAGCCAAACAATCTCAGCTGGGTCCCTAGAACCCACAGGTGGAAGAATGGAAACTACTCACACAAGCTGTCCTCTGACCTCCAATGTGCACAAGGGGCATGTGCACACACTCAACACAGATTAAACTTCATCGTTATTAGGCCCTGAAGGTCCTACCACCCACTGCCTCCACCGAAAGACAGAATGAAGGAAGAGATCAAGTTTTGTTCATGTCTGAATTTGGGAAAATGTCTTAGGGGTTTTTAGGACAATAAATGCAAGATCATGTGTTTGACAGGGTTTTTGTCCTTAGACACCTTCTATGAGCAGCAGATCTGTAGAGCAAAGGTTTGCTTCATCTTTTCCTAGAAAATTAGCTTTGGATCTCACTCCACATTTACTGAATTTGCAAGAGAAAAACAGTGATTGAAAAAGCAGTGTTAAGAAAGAGGAAACATCAACCACAACTGCCTCTCCTTAAAAACTGAAATAAAAATGCCTGCCAAAAAGTGAGGCAGCGTGGCAGGTGGCTGTAATCCCAGTACATGGTAGACAAAGAGAACACATGGGGTTTGCTAAGCAGCTCGTCTTGCTGAACTGGTAAGCTATAGGTTAAGAGACCCTGTCTAAAAAATTAGGCAAAAAGAGATAGAAGAAGACACCAGACATCCACCTGTGGTCTTAAGTGTTCATTCACATGCAGACAAACACAAATATGAACACACACACACACACACACACACACACACACGTTAAAATACCAGTGAAAGAAGTCATTGCAATGACCCCTCATTAAAATACTATTGAAAGGGCAGCTACAGGGCTAGGAGAAAGCCCAACGGTTAAAAGTGCTTGCTATATGTGATGGTTTCAATGTCCCCCACAGGTTTAAGTATTTGAACACTTGGTCAGTTGGTGGCTGTTTGGGGGAGGGTCAGGGAAGCCCTAGGAGGTGTGGCCTTGATGAAGTCCATGTCACTGGGGGCAGGCGGGCTGTGAGAGATCACAGCCATGTCCCATTTTTGAGTTTCTCTCTTTCCACATCCTGTGCCTGTTTGAAGACATGCGTGTTCAGCTTGCTGCTACGGCTGCCTCCTGCCACGCCTTCCCACCATGATGGACTCGACGCTCTGGAACCACAAACCAAATAAACTGTTCTGTAAGTTGCCTTGGTCATGGTGTTTTGCCACAGCAATAAAAAATAACTAGTACAACTATACTAGCCTGGCAACCCATATTGGATCCCTGAAACTCTGGGTTCCTTCCTGCAGTGGTGCACATCTGTAATCCTAGCACTCCTATGGCGACTAGGAAGTAGAGACAAAAGAATCACCAAAAAGTTCGAGGGACAGCTAGCCTGGAGTACACAGCACAGCAGCAGAAAGAGGAGGAACCTAGGCTCTGAAGTGGGGATGTGGCTTACATCATTAGAATCTTTGCTTTCACGGTGCTATGTAAAGTAAGTTTTCTATGAATGGAAGATAAAATGAAATGTTACGTATGCCTTGTTTTAATATCAGGTTTCCTGTTGATGCTCTGCCATGTCAATATCCTTGCCAATTTCAAATCTGTTCCAATCTCACATTCAATCAATAAAATATCCCAAAAGTATTTCTAAAAGCCTTTAACGGTAATATTTAAAAGTGTTAATCACTAGAATGAATTTTTTCTGTAGACTGTGCTGATGTAGGATGTTGAAATAATGCTAACACATGCACCCGAAGACTGCATCATTAATCTGAAAGGAGACGAGGAACCTGGCGACCTGCAAAATGCATCTGTGAAAACACTTCAGACTTCATGTGACAGCCAATCCCAGAAAGTGAATAAAATTTCTAATCCTGGAAAGCAGAAGACTAACAGATATTTCCAAGTCATAACCCACACTAACTTTGTTACTATAAGACAGTCCTATCTACACTCTCCCGCCACAGAAGAATTTCACTATTTTCAAGTAATTTGGAGTAGAAACAGGTGTGAGATTATAAAAGAACTTCTCAGGAAAGCCAACTCGTCTTTACTTAAATTAGGCAAGTAGTAAGTAAAGGTAAAGCTCCTAGAAAACTGTTTAGAATGTCAAGGACAATATTCTAAGAGGCCTTAAATACAATCATAAAAAAACAATTCTAAGTAATTCTATTTAAATCTAGGATGCCTTCATTTGCAATAAAAAGGAACCTTGGTAAATTTCACCCAATCAGCATGGAGTTTAACGTTCAGAGAGAAGACCTCACACCGTCCACACAATGCTCTAGAGATTATCGCTCATTCACTGTTTGGTTTCTTTTCTTTCTGGCCTTCAGATGCCCCAGAAAATGGTGATCCAAGAGAACCCGAGTTCTATCAAGACACGTCTAGGTCGGAGTGTACACACTAGTTCTACTGCCAAAGTCCATACCATATCCTGGGTGCCATAACCCATCCTTCCTCCCACAACCATTTTGGTAAGCAATCTCTTTAAAGGCACTACATATACTGTCACTATTGGAACCTCAACAATGAACATCAGGGCTCTGACACAACATGGGACCTCTCAACAACCACTGCTCTGAAACTTCCCATCAGGGCAGAGTCTTCATTTTGCTTAGTCACATCACCTGTCCATTTTCCTGTCATTTCTCCTCCTTCCCTTCACCCCTTAGTACTACAGAAACAGCCTACAAATAACCACTCAAAAGCCCCATCAGGAACACTGCACCTTCAAGGCCATCTTCTTCTTCTGGCTCCAGCTCAGCTGTCTCACTCTCTGGCTGTAGACACCCTGCTCAGTTGAACACCAGATACCCCGAGGCCATTACAAAGCTTCACAGTCTATCCTATATAAAGTTTCTTTCAAACCCAGCCTTTCCCCAGAGCCAAAAGTTACTCTTCTTCTTTGAAATCTATACCAGTAGCGGTTCTCAAAACTGTAATACCTTAAAATCTTCTTCAAGAATAAACCTTTGCTTGTGATTCTGATACCACACTATCTTAACCCTTTTTCCATAACACCAGTCCCTCAATGTACACAAACACACACAGAGAACCAACTTTGGCTCCTTCATCTCTGGTATGGCTGCCATTCCTCCAGGCTGGTTCTCTAAGGAACCTGCAGGTCTCTGCTTTCACTGGTTCATCCCGTCACTGGCCTTCATAATCACATTCTCTGAAGCACATCTGTGAGGGTCATCAGAAGCCTTACTACCAAACGTATCTGAATAGTCATCTGGCCAGATATGGTGATGCACATCTGTCATTCCAGCATTTGAGAGACTGAGGAAGGAGGATGGTGAGTTCAAGGCCAGCCTGGTCTACATGGTCAGCCCAGGTGGGAGATAGGGAAAGGGAAGAGGAGAGGGAGAGGAGGGAGAGGGATGGGGGGAGGTGAAAGAGCAAATGTGCACAGTATTTCCTGGGCTTCTAGGACCAACAATCTCATCAAAACTGCTTCCTCTCTGGGAATTCTACCTCATTGATCTATATAATCAAGGAGACCTGAGATTAACTTACACTTTTCTTTCTTTTACTCTCAATATTCAAGAGCTTTTGAAGTTATGTAAACTCCATTTTTCTGTGAATGTTATTTTCTTTTTTTATGAGACAGAATCTTGCACCGTAGCCCAGGTTGGCCTTGAACTCACTAAGATCAGAATCTCAAGCATTTGGGCAAATCTCACTTACATAACTATTTCACTTAATACCTACACAACACATACACACACACACACACACACACACACACACACGCACACGCACACGCATGCACACTCGCATGTGTGCACACACACATATACTCACTTCCTCTCCACCTCCAGTGTCATTTTAGTACAGGCCCTGGGTACAATTTTTATTGCCTGTTTTTCTTCTAGTCCACACTCTTCTGGCTATACAACCACCAATTAGTTCAAAAGTCCCAATCTGAATAGGTGACTTACCACCCTGGTCTACTGTGCTGCAAGAGTGTGCTACTGCCTGCAGGGTGAGTCCAAACTCCTCGGCATGCCACAGGGTCCTGTCTCAGCCTCCCAAATGCTTGGACTACAAGCACCATCATCATGCTCAGTTTAGACAAGTTTCCTCAAGGGAGAAGTTTGTCATGTTTGTTCCTGTTCAGCTGTGTGTTACCAGCACGGAGGACACTGCCTAGCACCCATCAGAGCTTTAAGAATCATTCTCCATGTGAAGCTTCACATGCTGCCCATTCTATTCTTCCTCACTTTTAAACCTTTTCATTTAAGGTAGAATACCGTAAGCTCCCACTACAAATGGCAATGGATTAAAATAGGGTGAGGGGAAAGGTAATCCATCCTGTTTGGAGAAAGAGCACCCCAGTTTCTTACCAGTGAGGGGCAATACTTGCCCTCTGATTTAAAGATAGAGGAGTGTATAACTCTAGCAACAGTTAAAAAGGCAGTTTTTGTCACCCAGCAATGTTACAAAACAGCAGAACCAGAAAGCAAATATTTTGCAAATTAAAAAACAGATTGAACAGAAAGTATTTCATTAAAATTTATGGCCAAAGTAAAAACTTTGTTTGGAGTTAGCATATGACGAACATCCCATGCTATCAAGTAAAATTAGGGCAAATTTCTCAAGAATAAACAAACAGAACTGGTTATCTAAACCAATCCATAAAAAATTATGGTTAAGTAGACATAATTACTATACAAATAATTAACTTTTAGACCACAAACTTGGGGAACCAAGTGCCTTCCTCATTACATAAATATTAAATGTGACCATATACACAAAGAAAGTTTATGTTGGCAGAGTAACCAGACAGAGTATCTATGAACAGGAAAGTGCCATATAGCCATGCATTTTTTATTTAACCACAGCGAGTTCAGAGTCCAAAACAGCTGGACTACTAACTCTGGATTACTACTTTTCTTCTTTGAAAAATATATCAGTAGTGGTTCTCAAAACTGCATTAACTTTAGGATCTTCTTCAAGAATAATCCTTTGTGATTCTGATAAGGTCATTTTCATTATGGCTATTAAGAAAAAAAAAAAGATAAAAAAAAGTGTGTGTGTGCTGGTTTGAATGCAAACAGCTTAAAACTGAAGCTTCTATGTTCCCCGCGCAGAGCCTCAGTACCACCCATCCAGGTCCTCCGTGTCCCTTCATTGTGATCTCGCTGCAGGCCCTATCCTGCAGCCCATCCCTAGCAGTGCTAACTGGAGCTATCTCAGCATTAACAGTAAGAACTCCTTCTCCTAGAGCATGAGACAGCAACACAGGAGGTGATACCTGATAATTCAGTTGTAATGCTCTGCCCTGCACTATGGCATTAGACTAATCTTCTGCACCATTTTGTAGCTCCAACTTTGAGATTCCCTACATTTGGCAACATAATTTGTAGAAAATTAGTATTTACTATTAAGTAAAAACACTCAAGCAAATAATTCGATGACACTGTAATAATCAACTGTTAGAAGTACCAACCACAACATTGTCAGAAATGTGATCACCAAGTATAGAGGAAGTTAGGGAATTACTGTTAATTTTAGAAAACTAATTTATCGCTCATATTAGTAGAAACTAGTGACACATGAAAAAGTCATAGCACAGCCACTCACCGTCCCCGGCAGGAAGTCCCCTCTCCTTCTTCTCATCACATCTGTTGCACTCACTGAAGTAGAGCAGCAGGAACATGTCCAAGAGGACCCAAACCAGGGAGGTGGCCAGGACCACCTTGCAGTATGCAAATTTTCTCATGGCACTTTAAGTCAAATGTAAAATTTTAAAATATATATATATACAAATATCATGAAAATTATTCCAATCTGGTTTCATCAGAAATCACGTTCATACCCTATAAGGAAAAAGGGAAAAAAAGAGTGTTTTAAATTCATAACCTAGAAGATAAATCATATAATACTCATGAATATTAGGAAATAAGAATTAATTTCATGAACAGTAAGAAATTCCATAATTATACAGCTCTTTTTTGTTAGTTTTTATTTTATATATATGTGTATACTGCCTGCATATAAGTGCACCTGTGTTGTGCAATGCCCGTGGAGGTCAGAAGGCGCTGGATTCCCTCGGAACTGGAGTTACGGATAGTTGTTAGCTGCCGTATGGGTGCTGGGAATTGAACCCAGGTCCTTTGCAAGAACATACAGTGCTCTTAACCACTAAGCCATCTCTCCAGGCCTATACAACCAACTCTTACAAAGCAATATCCAGTAGAAAAATGGGTAAAGGATGAAAACTGGTATTTTACAGAAGAGAAATCTGAACAGTCAAGAAATGTATAAGGATGTGCTCAACTCCCTGTAACTGGTCATGTAAATCAAAACGACAATGAACTGCTACTTCAGTCCCACCAAGCACAAACATCTTAACTCCCTCCCTATTCAACTGCTATAGTAAATGCAAAAGCATTAACTTTAACTGGCACAGGAGCGTAAGCAATCAGGGACTCCAGCCTATTCTAACTATCCACATTACAGTTCTCCCTAGAGTCTATACCACACAGCTCATCAGGCCACATCTTGCCCTTCTTTTCCCACAAATCTTGCCCAAATCCCATCCACAAAACTCAATAGTTACTAATCATTCAGAAAACATTCACAGAAAGCATTACAGAAAAGGAGGGAAAAGATGTAAGACCTAGTCTTGGCTCTGATTTCCCCAATTTTCAGTTCCTATTTCCCACTCTCTCACCTCCCCTGATACTGTCATATCATCACTGAAAAATGACAGCAAGAGCTCAACTGCAAATATGAAAAATCAATTGGGATACTTTAACTAGAATTATTTCTGACTCATGCCTTCTCCTGAGGCGCTCTGGCGCTCTAAGAATCATTTCACTGAGTAGCTGACATGAAGGCTCAGAGGCAGAGTCACCGCTGACCAAGAGAGAAACACACCAAGCGTATTCCAATAAAGTACAGAGGAAACACATCTGTACATGTGCCTCATGCTGAAGGCCATGGAAACAGATGCTCTGAAGAACCAGGCAGATAGGCAATGTATCAGCTTATCAGTGGCCAGCAAAGGTGGATTTATCGGAACATACACTGGGGCAGAGAAGCCTGCACATCTATGAAATATTTACAATACTTCCTTACAGGGTTGTGAAACGACAACAGCCTGAAACTCATCTGAGAAGATCTAAGTGATACTCCTAAGCATAAAGGGCTGTTTTTACTCCCATCTCTGGGGACGTCATCTCTCGCCTGTATCTTCTGTCAGACTAACATTCACTGGCTGACGGTGAGAACAATGGTGCTGCTGACATGTTCCTGCCTCAAAGCCATCCTTATTCCATGTGACACTTGGCTGTCGCAGGCAGTGAGTAGTTACTAATAACTATGGGAACAAGTAAAAGGACTACACTACAGAACAGCTCTCACCAGAGGCCAGACACCGTATGTTTGCACTTTGAGTTATTTCACAGGAAAGGCTATCCAAAAAGTAATCTGACTCCCATGTCAATGGGATTTTTTTTTTTTTTTTCCTTAAGGCAGAGTCTCATGTAGCCGAGGCTGGCCTCAAACTCCTGTGTAGCCACGGACGACCTTGAACTTCTGCCTGTCCCTCTCCAGTACTGGGATTACAGATGTGCACAACTGTCAGTTTGTGCAGTGCTGGAGATGGAAGAGAGGAACTCACGCATCCTAGGTAAGCAGTCTACAAACAGAACTACACCCCCACAGCTACACTCATTTTTAATATCTAAAGACTGTTTTACTAATATAAATTATAGTCGGTCCATTTATGGAGAACAAACCTTTTCATATTCAGACCTCTAAAGGAGAAAGGAAAACACGTCTACACAAAAAGACCTGTGTGCAATCTTTTTGACATCTTTGAACATCCCTTATAAACAATGCTTGGAATTAGAACCGTTCCAGATTTGGGAATTTTTCAGATTTTGCTGTATTTTCAGGCTTAATTGGCTGAAATTCTACAACCAAAAATCTGAAATGCTCCAAAATGTAGACTGTTTCAGCCACAAAGTTTCAGATTTCAGAGCATTTTATATTTCTAATTAAGGGTGTAGACGCTGCCTGTACATGTATAAAATGAACCACTACTCAGAAAATTAAAAATCATTCTTGATACTGATCACTAAAGTTATTTCCCCAAGCGATTACCCCAAGATTAGAAGTCAGGAGAATGAACTTATCATTTGGGTGACTCCTCTTAACAAAGCTTACTGGTTCATGTATTTCTATTTAGGGCATGCAAATAGTATATTAGTTTCTAAGGAGATAAACTGATTTAGCTTCTAACGATATCTTAAAACACTATATTTTTCCTATTTATAAAGTAATACATGCTCAATGTAAAGAACTTGATAAACACAGAAAAGTAAAAGATGGGGGCTGGAGAGATGGCTCAGCACTTAAGAACACTGTACTTGCAGAAGACCTGGGTTCGAATCCCAGCACCCACATGGTAGCTAACAACTGTCCGTAACTCCAGTCCCAGGGGATCAGACAGCCTCTTCTGTCCTCCACAGCAAATGCACGACACGGAAGCACTCACCTACATGCAGGCATGGCACTCATACACATAAAATGAAAATAATAAATAGAATATTTTTAAAAAGAGAAGTAGAAGATACAAAACCACCTATAAACTGACACTGTAGTCAATTCTAGTCTCATCGTTAAGTGGCCTTTCAGTCATTTCGAATCGACATCGACATTTCGTGATTTAACACAAGTTGCTATACCTTTTTAAAATATTTACGTGCATGAGTGTTTTGCCTGCATGTAAGTAAGTGTGCCTTGTACATGCCTGGTGCCCTTGGAGGCCAGAAGGTGGCATTGGACTCCATGGAACTGGATTTAAGGAAGGGTGTTAGCGGTCATGTGGGTTCTGGGAACCAAAGCTGGGTACTCTGCAAAGGCTTAGTAAGTGCTCTTAGCTGCGGAGCCATCACTCCAGACCCTGCCGTATCTATTTTGACCCAAACGGTTTTACTATCTTGAATGCGTTTATTATCAGGGAAAATGGAAGAAATGGGGGTAACTATAGTGGCAGCACTTGGAACCTTCATGATCATGCTCTATTTTCATTTTATTAAATATGGCTCAGCAGACACCTGTAACCACTGTTCCCACCACAAGCACTGAATAGTGTGTCCTAGGTAGCATCACAATGTCTTAATGCTCACTCAAAACAGCCCTAATATCTACAAAGTTATATAAAAATGCAGCATTTTGGTTTACACCTAAAGAACAAACACACAACAGATGCAAACTGGGACAGCTTCCAGGCTCGGGATTAGAGCCTGTCTCCCTCCCTATCCCCTCTTCTGATAGAAACCTGACTCCCAGGCCACAGGAGACCTACTAAGGCCAACCACAGAACCTCGCTACTGGGATTCTTCAGTCACATACTTGGAAAGCTATTAGTTAGTCAACCACCCATTTGGAGTTCATCTACAGTCAAAGAATGAGGCCAACAGAGGCAGGTAGAGGATCCCAACAGTGACCAAGTCCCTGATTCTTCAGCTTTTTGACCAGTTGGGAATTCTATTAATCTCTGCTTAACGAGTTTGAACTGGGGAGGCTGGAGAGATGGCTCAGAGCTTAGGAGCACTGGCTGCTCTTGCAGGGAACCCGGGTTCCCAGTGCCCACATGATGGCTAACAATCGTCCATAACTCCAGTTCCAGGGGATCTGACGCCATCTTCTGACCTCTGCAGGCACTGCACGACAAGGGTACACTTACATACATGCAGGCAATATACTCATATACATAAAATAAAAATAATAAATTTTTATAAAGGGTTTGAATTGGGTTCCTGACACAAGCTCAATGCTTGGAGTTAGAAACAGGATCAATGAATATAAGTAAAATCAAGAATGTTCTTGTTCATTAATTGCTTCCCTCTACTAGTCACAAATAATTATACATTATGAAGCAAACACCACTATTTAAAAATTACTTTTTAGGGTCTGGAGATATTACTCAGTGTTTAAGAGCACTTGCTTCTTTTGCAGAACACTCAGGTTTAGTTCCCAGCACCTACATGGTGGCTGATACCCATTCTTCACTATAGGTTCAGGGGATTCAATGCCCTCAGAGGAGGGCTCCAGGTACCATGCAGTATAAACACACACATGCAGGCAAATAATCATACACATAAAATAAAAACAAAATTTAAAAATACATACTTTTAAAATGTACCAAACCTCAAATGTCCATCAAATACATAAAACCATGTTACAGTAATATATAATCACAGCACAACACACATATATTCACCACCCATTTCAGAAATGTTCCCTCTTCAATTCCACCTCTTTCCTAGGTCCTCAGAGACAATCTTTGTTCTGAATTTACTGCCCTTCCTTGTTTAACAATTTAATCTCATTGATATACTTAACATCTTGCTTCAGTTGTCCATTTCTGAAATGTTTATAGATGGAAAACTTAAAAATTTTTTAATTTTAATTTTTTTTTTTTTTTTTTTTGGTGTGTGTGTGTGTGTGTGCAAGTGCCCAAAGAAGTCAGAAAATGTATCAGATCCCCTGGAGCTGGAGTTACAGGTATTTGTGAGCTGCCCAATGTGGGTGTTGGGCTCCAAAGCAAGTGGTCCTAACTGCTGAGCCATCCCTCCAATCTCACCAGGCCTGAATAATTTTCCTAACACTGTGCTCCTGAGATTCATCATACATTGCACGTAGCTGTCGTCCAACCATTTTCACTACTGAGCATTATTCTCCTAGCTTAGCATACGAGGCTCTTAGCTGTATTCTTAATGGATGCTAAGGCCTCCTAGACATCTATTACTATAAGCAGTATGGGATAACCATACCAGAACACATTTCTGAGAGTACTTATTTA